CAAGATTGAAACTGCCATGAGATAATTCCTATTTCTAACTGTAGATAGAGTATTCTGCTGTAGGTGGCTGTCACAGTCGCCAAATATTTTTATTTTTACAGTAGACTCAACCTAAGTAAGTAGTATTCCATCTATCATTTTATCTAAACCTCAAGATAATTGAAAGATAACCACACAGGTCATCCCAGTGTTGCAAATGAGAGAGCCGAGACAGGAGGCTTAAATGACCTGCTCCATGTCAAACAACTCTTAAGCAGAAGACTAGAATGTGAAATGGGTGCTCCTGACTCCCTGGCCACTGACTTCCCGCTAGAGTCTTTATCTTGGTTACATAGTTTGATGCATAGACCACTCTTAACCATGGTGTCAAAGACAAAGCACACACAGACATTGTTTTTAATTTTCAGGAATTTAAAGGAAATCTGAAATATCTGCCATTATAGGGGACAAGTTAAATATTTTATTTATTAAAAGTACTACCATACATCTATTAAAAGGGAAGCTACTTATGTACTGATATGGAATAATCACTGTGAAATATCTCTACCCCCCAAATCCCGGTGTCCCTGAAATATTCTTAATACTTTTTATTTTGATATACATTAAGACTTACAAGAAGTTCCAAAAATTGGAATGCCACCCAGCTTCCCCCAATTATAGTGTTATACATAACCATGATCCATGGTTAAAACCAGGAAATTGAGATTTGGTACAATACTATTAATTCAAATAAAGGCTTTATTTGGATTTCTCAGAAATACTTTAAAATGAAGAAGAAAGGTGAGATACTGTATATAGTATGTACCCTGTTCGTTTAAGAGGTGGGGAGGATATGTAAGTTTGTGATCATGTGCTTTCACGTGCCTAGAATATCTGTGGAAGGATGTACACAAAACAGATACGCTGAGTTGCCTAAAAGAAGAAAACTGGGGCAGCAAAGAGTAAAAGAAGTAGAGAAAATTTGAACTTATGCTCTTTTGTACCAATCCATCTAATTTTTTAAAAAAGTAATAAGCAATCTTTTTATGTAGTCATACAAAATAATCTCTAAGTTATATTTTAAAAGTACAGAAATGTGACTGCGTCCCATTTATAAAACATGGGTGGGGAGAAATGTGTGTCTTTGCTTCTGGAAGCAATATATAGGAAACTGGTAACTCTGGTTTGCCTCCAGGGATAAAAGTAGGCAGCTGGGGACACAAATGAAGAGAGAGCTTTCACTATATACCCTTTTGTACCTTTTAAATTCAGACCACGTGAATTTATTTCCTTTTCAACAAAATTAAGAACACTGAAAAAATTAAACGCTAAAAATGCATTGCTTTCACCTTGTATATATATTTTTTTAACTCTAAAATATTCAGCAGCTTTCCAGCTACTCTTTGGCTAAAATCCAACTTTCTTAACATGACATTTAGGTTCTTTTTATAACTTGGTATCATTATTTCCTGCCTGAAGCTTTCTCTTCCACCTAAAGCGTTTTACTGTCTCCTCATAATCATGCATGTTCTGGCATTTCTTTATTCTCTCTCCCTCTTTGCCAGTCATCAGGAACCAGCTCAGGCTCACTTCTGTGAAGTCTTCCCTGAGCAATTCAGCCCTCTGGGACTTCTCTCTCATCCAAGTTCCTGTAACAATATATTGTCTGCCCTCACATTTTTTCTGAAACTCCCTTTTCCTGGCAGAACCTTACACTTGGTTGATGTCCCAGTGATGCTTTTTGACTAATTTCTTTGTGGAAATTGTGTTCCATGCATATGCTCGCCTGATGTACTTAAGAATCCCAAACTGTATCATGGCAATAAGAAATTATTTATCCACCCAAAAACACCCTAGCAGAAAAAAAAAAAGAGGACAAAGTAAGAATTAAAACTCAAAAAAGCACATGGTGTTTGAATATTGATGTATTTTTAAATATACCATTTCTGGAAAACAAAATGCATGATAAAATTTTTCCCTGTTTGTCATTTTGGCACGTATATTGGGCTACATTTTGGGAAATAGGCCCTGTTTTCCTGGTAACCATGGTGAATTAATTAACTTTTCTGATATGTTGTCAACTAGTTCTTGAAGTTCTTGTTTTGAGTAAATGGCAGAGTTGGAGTCAAACCTTGGCAAGTCTGCTCTCAGGTCCAAGTGACTTCTAAGCCTGTGTTCTCTCTCTCTCTCTCTCTTTTTGGTTGGATTTCCTTTTATTTTTTGTTTAATTTTTAAAAATTGAAGTATAGTCAGTTTACAATGTTGTGTCAAAAAAATATGGAACGCTTCACAAATTTGCATGTCATTCTTGTGCAGGGGCCATGCTAATCTTCTCTGTGTTGGTCCAATTTTTGTATATGTGCTGCGGAAGTGAGCACTTCTCTTTCTAGCAATGGAAATACGTTAGGTTCCCTAGTGGTACAGCATTGTATTTAATGGAAACAAAGTATAAACTCTATTCCTTGATGAGCTTACACTCTTGCTCACCAGGAAGGAGAATGGCAGTTCTTTTGCTAAGGATATTTCTAATTGTAAATTTACAAATAAGCATTTTAGATATCTGTTCTGGTCTAGTGAGATGGCACGATTAACTAAGAATGTTAGTTCCTGATGAAATTCATTCATTTCACAAGTGTTATACATACAGTAATTGGGGATATAAGATTTGTGAGCATCTCTGCCTGCAGTCTACTTGGGGAGATAGTCATGTAAATAATGATAAATTAACTTGAGAGTAGGGGCCTCACAAAAGAAGTGTTCAACTTACTCTGGACAGGGGTAAGAGCAGATCAGGGGAGATTGTATTCTGGAGAAGACATTTGAATGGACCTTACAAAAGGTGTGGGAAAGAATTTCTGGCAGAGGTAATAGCAGAGATGAGAGACAGTATGGAGCCTTCAAGGATCATGTAGGTTGTGCAATAAATCTTCAATCTTTTATCCTAAAGGCAATGGGGAGTCCTTAAAGGATTTCATTTTGTTTAAAGTCTGCCTTTTTTTTGATAGAAGTCATATATGCTCATTATGAAAAACAACACATTACAGAGATATATACATAGAAAGTGAAGATTTCCAATAATTCCTTCTATCATCCCCTGAGATAATTACTACTACAAAGAGTTTGAAGTATATTTCTCTATATTTCTTTCTAGGCACATAGTAACAAATACATGGTGATTATTATTATAAAGGAGAGGAATCTCTTGTGTGTGCTTTTTATATATTTTTAAATAATTCAGTACCAAAGTCTTGCAGCATCTTCCAGTCATTACAATGTTGCCTGAATCCACAATGCGATGTGCAGGAGTCACTGTGAAGGTGAATCTATATAATTTAGAGTTTGTGGAGACCGAGGAGTGAGACTACTTAGTAAGCTGCACAAGTTCAAAACTGGGCAGTCATCTTTGACCACCTCTTTCAACTTTGCCCTTCACATTCATTTGGCCAACAAGTCCTGATCATTTTACCTCCTTAATGAGTCTTAAATTTATTTCCTCTTTTCCACTTTGACCACATTACCTTCTTCAATAGTTTCTTGACTCCTCTAGGCAGTGTGAGGTGTCCTCCATCTGCTTTCCTTTCATATTGTGTGTGTAACTTTATCATGGAACTTCATATTGCATTGGAATCATCTGTTTACTCAGGTCTTTTCCACCCAAATGTGAAATTCTTAGTCAGTGCTTTAAAAAAAATTTTATCTCTAGTGCCTGGCATATAGTAAGGCTCCATGAATGTTCAAGGAAGGCAAGTGATGTTGGCATTGTTCAGCTCAACTGACAAAAATGCATCCTTACTAGTATCAGGCATTTGGATAAAAAGATGAGAAAGAAACTGTTTCCTTATTGGTAAAATGAGGCCTATACTATATATGGAATTAGTAAAATAAGGTTTAATGCAGGGCAATCTTAAATTCTTTAAAGGATTAAAACTAACTTTGTATTTGAAACACTTAATAGAGTCTCAGGCAGAGTAGACTTATTATCATGAAGATGATCCAAGCACAGGAATAACCCAAAGCCAGGTGAAATTTTTAGGTGCCATTAGACACCTTAAAAGTTAACAGAAAATGTCATCATGTATCCTGAGGATGAACTAGGAAAGGCTCCAAGGCCAAAGCCTTAGAAGTCTCTTAAAGCCTTAGAAATCAAGAAGTCCTAGACCTGGGGTCAAAAACTCAAATACCAACAGCAGGCCAGGCAGTTACTGAATCAAAAGTTGAGAACTTCAAAGGTAAACCAAAGGCCCGGCCCCACCCCCAGACTAATCAGAATCCCTAGTAGGTCCCCAGAGGGAGTAGGCCTTTAAATCTCCTCACATGATTGGATTCTATTGTGCAGCCAGAGGAGGGAACCACAGCAGTTCTAAACCAATGAGGGCAAGATGGGTAACAAGAATGCCATTTCCCATTTAATCCTGTTGATTGGTGCAATAGGATTCGCCAACTTCTCTGAAAAAGTCCAGGTTTTCATGTAAACTTTACCAGACTTTGAAATATTGTCAAGCAGTTTAACATGTTAAAAAAAAATGTACAACCAAATACTTCAGGAATCAAAGAAAACATGGTAGGGGCTCTGCTTGGCTGTCAAGTCAGTTTGTAACCTTCCTTGCAGTTCAAGCTTCAGCTTGAAGAAACACTGATACCGGGGAAGGTTAAATAACTTGTCCAGGACTATAGGCCAAGATAGAATGACTCCGGACTAAAAGTCAGTCCTTTTAAATTTACGCTCCTCCTATGTTAGGCAAAGGAAGGGCACTTGGAGATATATTTTCAAAAATGGGTAAGGCTGTGGGAAGAGAGAAGGCGACTCGGGCTGACGGAATCCCAAGAGCAGTGCCTCAAGAATCCAGGCGATTCCTTAAAAATGAGGAAGACAGCAGTCGGACTTCGGAGTTAGAAGAATCAACGACGCATGCGCTTTCCCCTGGCCGGGGCCGCTGAAGGGTGAGGTATGTTAAACGCGATGAATTACGACCTTCGCTGGCGACGCTCACGACTCCTGCCGTAAAGGCCGTGTGCGGCGCGTGCGCACTTCCTCTCTTTCGGATTCCTGACGCGGTTGCTGCTGTTCGCCTCAAGTGTGCCGCCCGGGCCGTCACCATGGTGAAGCTGAGCAAAGAGGCCAAGCAGAGGCTGCAGCAGTTATTCAAAGGAGGCCAGTTTGCCATCCGCTGGGGCTTTATACCTCTCGTGATTTACCTGGGTCAGTGGGAGAATAACTTGGGAGGAAACTGGAGGGGAGGGCTCGCGGAGGCTGAGGCTCCATTTTTGGCCTGAGGCGGGAGAGAAAAACGCGGCCAGGCCGCGCACGTTCTTTGAGGCTGTCTGGTCAAGTGGGGTCGGTTTAATCTGAGTTCGAGTTCCTGTTGTATCCTTTACTGTTTCTGTCATCTTTAACTAGACACGTAATCTCTTCGTGTTCTGTTCTTACATCGCTAAAGTAGAGGTGACATACTTTTTAGGATTATTGGGAGAATTGGACGACCAAATATATGTGAAAGCGACTAATTATTTCTTTGGCACTAGGTGGTTTTTCAGGGGTTTGTCTTCTCCAGGTGGGCCTAAGTAAAAAGAGGCCCATAGACCTCGTGGATATACCACTGTTTTGAGGCATGATTAAGACAATAGGTGTTTGATGCCTCTGCTTTGTCACCAATATAAAGGACTTACATGTGAGGAAACCGAGTCATAGAAAAGTTTTGCCCCTTGTTGAAGGCCACACAGCTGTTAAATGGGGAAGTTGTGAACTCAAACAATAGGGCATCAAGGCCCATACGCTTAACCACTTTGCTATATTGCAAAGATTTGTTAAGTGCTCAGGCAAATATTTTCAGCTAAGGCTGCACATTGGGACTTTATTATATTTCTAGCCTTGGGTAGGTTTTTTTCCCCCCTTTATTTTTAATATTTATTACTCTATTCAGGCGATATGCTAGAAAGGAAAGAGTCTCAACTCTGTCAGAGCATAAAGTTTGACATTTTCTAAAACTCAGTTTCACGCTCCAGAATTCTATGATTTTAACAAGCTGCTGCTTCTTGGTTTTTTGTTTGTTTGTTTTAGGTGTCATGCACTGTGTAAGATAAAGAACATTCACTGAGTCTTGACAGAACTTTGATAATACTGGACGTTCTCTGGGGAGCTGCGGCTCCCATTTCCCCATGAATTGCAAGCCAGCTGATAATCTGAAGATAGTTCAGTATACAGGACATTAAAAACATCTATTTCCTCCCTTATTTTAAGTGCAATTTTTAGAAAAAGCATTATTTTCCCAGATTTTAGTGACTTTGTGTAGGTATCAAGGATTAGAGCAAGTAATTATGATACTCTTACAAGTTGTGTTGTTCTCTTTCTCCCAAACTGCCCCCCCACCCCACCCCAGCTTTCAGTTAATGGTAGAAGGGTCCAGTTTGGCTAGTCGAACACTGAGACAAGCTCTCTTTTTAGCTAAGGAAGGTATGGAGTTGATTCTTTCTCTTTTTGCATTCTTGTGTATGTGGGTCTTGTTTTAGTCCACTCTTGCTTTCTTTGTCCCTGTGGTTTCTTTGCTGCTGTGTAAGTCTTTTCATGTACCTTTCCCTCCTTCTCCCCTTTCTGAGATTCCTTTTCTGCTGCCAGAAAGCTGTAGCTGGTTGTTATAATCTGTGTATGAGGGTTTTTGGTCTGAAGAGTAGATAATGCTTTCCTTCTCTACCCTAGAGTTTCTTTTCTTTTTTGTGCACACCAGCTATATTCTCTTTATTTAGTAGGACTACCATTATGGTGATTTTTTTTTTTTTTAACTCTAGTGTCCAACTCAGGTTGAGGTTAATGTTAAGACTATTTTTTTTAGTACTTAATTGTTGTTAATCATTCTCTTTATCCTTACACTGTATCTAAATTTAATATGTCTAACCTGGTTCCCATGTTGTTTCTTTTACTTGTCCACCTCAGCTCTCACTAAAACCTGCAACTGCAGATTGAATTTCTTGTGTAATTTTGTTTCAAACATACCTTTTAGGGCTTCAGGGAGTATGGTGGGAATATAGTGCTATAATATAGGATAGACAGTGATGTGATGATAAAGAATCAGTTTGAACATTTACCAGCAAAAGGATTTTAGTGAGTTACCTGTTGGAAGACAATTCTCTATGGTGCGTTGAATTTCTTCAAATTTTGTGAGCAGAGGCTCTGATCACCCTTTGTTTCATAATATCTCTTTTTAGTATCTTTGTAGGGTGAACAGCTTTGGAAAAATAGTACCTCTCTCCAGAGCAAAGGGGAGACATGCTCACTGCTCATTATAAAAGTTTCTGTTCCTTAAACTCAGCATTCATCTCCTAAGTGATGATACTCTGATTACAGCTGTTGCTGGGAGTAATACATTGTCCTTGTTTCTGACTTGGAATCTTGTGTCTTCTGCCAGCATCTGTGAAACTGGCAGACTACTTTCTTGTCTTGAAAATCGGTGAAATTTCATACTCTACAGTTCTTATTGCCAACTCTTAATTTTAATCGGTTACTTCAGCAAATTAGTATATATATCATCCAGTTAATAAATATACTTTAAAAGGTAAAAGCTTTACTTAAAAGCATATTTGCAGTAAGCATTGACTTAACTAGGTTGTTAAACAATAACTTGAATGTTTTTGAACTCTTTCTATCACCAATCTTTGGTCGATTTATAAAAAGAGGTTCATAGGGGATAAAATAAGATATCCTCAATTGTTTTTTTAAAAAGTATAGTTTAAAAAAATCTTTGTGCTCTTTGTAGTCTTTCATCCAGTATAATTTGGTAGTTGTGATGTCTTTTTTGTGGCTAATGACTTACAGTGAAAGGTAGTGCATGCTGAGGGCTACTGAGCAGTTGTGTGTATAATAGGACTAAGATAGTTTGTCCTCTCTACTGCTTAGTCCTGTACATAGTCTCATATTCTAGTGAGGATTCGAGACAGTTCTGTAGCACAGGTAAATCTAGATAGTGCTGGTAGATCTAGATACCATTCTAGCTACCCTAGGTTGATTTAGAAAGTCTCGATTGTAAATTTTTTGTCTGCTAGGGTTTTAATTAGTATTTATTCTCTCTCTCCTCCCTTCCCCTCTCCCCCCAGGATTTAAGAGGGGTGCAGATCCTGGAATGCCTGAACCAACCATTTTGAGGTACTGCTCTTACAAATAAGCATTGCAGGGAAATGCTCATATATTAGTACTGAATCATGGGAAGTAGAAGGGAAGTAGTGGTAGGCACTGTAACAGAGCTTTACCAGTCAGTGTCGTTTTGGGCTGTTGGAAAGCCAGGAGTTTGCAGACCAGTCTGATTTATGTTATCAGGTAACTACTGTCTCTACTCTTCCTAATTTTTATATATCATACATCATATATACTATGCATATGTCATATATACTATATATTTAAAAATTATGTGTTTAAACTATCCAGTTTAAAAATGATAAACATTTTTTTCTTCCGATAAACATTTTTATGTGCATAGATTTTATAGGTTTTGATTTATTTCCTTGTAATAAATTCTTGTGAGCTTAATAGGTCAAAGTGTATGAACATAAGTGGCTCTGACAATGCATTGTCAAATTCCTTTCTCAGAAATAACCTTGCCAGTGTCGGATAAGCACTTGTGAAAACTGCTACATACACACACACAGATACAGAGTATATTCATATACTTACATGTATGTGTATATATAAGTAACTTGTGAAAATTTTATGTATACATGTGTATATATCTGTGTATATATATATACATATACATATATAAAGGCAGAATCTGGAACAGGCAGGATTGCTGTGTAGGAAGGACTGGTATTTGTTTCACTGTGATGACTAGACCCCTGCACAGGAGCTGTGGGATTTCAGTTTGACCCTCTGTCTTAAAGACATTTCTTGTGAATTGTCCTAACAGACTTTTCACTGGTTGTTTTAGGTTTCAGTTTCTTCAGACTCAATCTAAGCCACTTTTTTCTAGAATGGGCAGAAGTAATAATACTAATATTACTAACAGTCACTGTTTTAAGCACTTTACATACAGTATCTCACTTCAGTCCTTCACAGTGGATCACACAGTTGGTAAGTGGTGGAGTGTGTCTGTCTCCAAGGCCTACACACTGTCCACTGGGTCACGTGGCCTCCCTCAGATAATCTGACCTCTTACTTAGCACAATGCCATTGTGTATGAATTTACTCCACATTCTCTGCCTTGCCAGCCTCTCCTTTCTCAAAGCAAGAGGTTTTTCTTCTTAAGAATTACTGCCAAATGTACCTTCAGCATGTCCATTTCTGCAGTTACTCTTTTCCCTGATAAAGTTCTTCAATAAATGATCTTCACTCACTGCTTCCTTTCTTCACGTCCCTTTCTTTCTTTAACCCTTTATGTTATGGCTTCTTAAAACTGCTTTCAGAGATCCCTGATAAATTCCTTTTTTTTAGCCTTACTCTGAACTGTCAATTTCCTTTTCTATAAAATGGGGACTTGAGGTAATGTATCTGCTGCTGAGTAGCCCGTCGACCTTAGACCAGTTATTTCCTTAGGGAAACATTACCGTAGGGAACACTGTCAGAAATGGGACTACCTGGTCAAGCTGTGTGAACATTTTCCAAGCAGTGGAAATTATCATCAGATAACCTTTCCCTAAGAGACCATTAACCTTTCTAAGATGAAGTTTCCTCTTTTATAAGTTGGGTATAATATCTGCTTTATAAGATTGCCGTGAGGATTGAATAAGAATATTGTATATGAAGTATTAACAGTGCTTGGCAAGTAATGTTTGAGCAATAAACTATTAATAATAATTTTTAATCTTTCCTATGTCATCTCCTTTGCCCCACTTCTTTCTCCTGTGAGAACTATGCTCTGGCTACATGATACTGCATACTTGTCCCAGAATAAACTGTGTTTTTTCATGTCTGTCATTCTCTGCCTAGTATTATGCTTGTTGCTTATTTACATAACATTTTTTCCTGTAAGTATCTAAAGTAGGTGCCAGCTACTTTGGCAACACTTTTTGAATGTTCAGTTAACTTAATTAAACGATCTTAACCACTTATTGGTGGTCTTGAGACAAGAGTGGATATGACATTGCATCTTGTGGTACAGTTTTTAGACTGGACCTGCATGCTGGGAAATAGCATTTTTTGTGCCCTAGGTGATCTGGGATCCAGAGGTGGGGATAGAATGTGCCCTTCTGCTGTATTGGCTTCAGTTATCCCACCAAGAGTTGACCCTTGAAAGCTACAGACTAGATGAAGCAGCTACCTCCCTGTTTTTTTCATTTCTTCACCTTATTGTCGTCTCAGTGCTGCTCTCCTTTCTGGTGCTAACGATCATTCTTTTCTGTCGTTAGAGGCATTTTCTGGTTTCCTTTCAGGGTAATTTGTGATTTAGGAAAGAACTGAGTGCCTGAGAAGGGTTATCCACTTAACAGAATTTCGTATGCTGTGCTGCTTGCACTCGGGAGACTGACTGGGGAGGTCTTCCTGGGTTGCCTAGTCTGTACCCTGATAGGAGTAGAATTGTATCTGTCAGGGTTTTTATTAATGTAAATATTTTATTAATATAAAATTTATTGTTCAAATATATAAAGTTTATTGTTTATATATAAATTTATTTGCATAATACTTATGTAAATAACATGGTGCATGATTTGCTGGCCTACTTCCCTTTTTGTTGGATTCCTTGGGATTAGGTCTGCATTTGTCTTAGTGTCCTCTTTTACCCAGGGTGGTATATTGTACATGGGCAGCAAATGTGGCTTGCTGTGAATGCCTTATTCAAAATGCAGTACTTAATGAATAAAGAATAATACCTTAGTAAAACATTGAGGCAAAATATATGAATACTAAGTAACTGAGAGAATCATTGACTCATTATCAGTTTAGGGCCAAGGGAGATATTCTTCTCTTTATCTTGGATGCTCATTACCAGTGAGGAAGAGACCTTGATAAATGGATATTTTATTTTTAAATCTTAACCGTATGCAAAAATAGTTGGGGTTTTATGGGAGATTTTAATACTTCTGAAAGTTGGAAATAGACGCATGTTGGTCTGTTTCACACACAAAGGGAAAATATTTCCTAAAAATAAACTTAACAGAATGCTCAAATTGGCATTTTGTAACGCAGTTTTATTTAAGTTGACATCCTACTACAAACCACATTTTTAATCAGCAGGACTTAGAAGTAAGACATTTCTTTTCTCCTTCCTGGATCTAAAAATGATACAGCTTTATTTTCTGGGTTCATCAATCCTTTATGTCTGTGTTTTGATTGACTTCAATTTATGTTTTTCTTTTTGTTTATAATAGGTACCTGTAATAAAAAGTTACAAAATTATTTCTTTAAGTAGGTCTCTGTGTTTGATTTTTTTTTGCTCAGTGAGATTGATCCTTCTGCTAACTCTGAATTTGACTGATGAGTAAACACAAACATAAATGTATCAAATCCTCTAGTTCTTAATCTCTGTTTAAGAAGTTTTTACTTTGGGGTTTAATTTATGTCTCCTCTTCACAAACATTTTAGCTTACTTTGGGGATAAAAGACTATTTGGTCATCTGGTTTTGGAAGCAGTCAATGCAGAGGAACAACATGGAAAGTGTGCACTCTGGCTGGGATAAAAGATGGGACATCGTTCAGACGTTCACCACTTGGATGGCATAGGGCTCTTCTCAGATGCGTCTGTGACAGAGTGGAACCTCTACTGACTTATTTATGATAGACTGTATCAAAATAAATGTTTTTAACAATGTTATGTCTTGAGTCCTTTTTGAATTGAACGTGATAGGACTGTTAGGTAAAAATTTAGCCTTTTCATACTTTTTCAACACAAGGAATCTATGTGTGTGCCTAGATGCTACTTTAAAAAACAAGAAAATCTACAAGTTAATTCCTGTCCATTCATTTAACAAATGGATTCCAGTTTCCCTTTGCAGTGAATTAATAACTCCCTCTGAGATGGTCTGAGGTAGTAAAAGTAGAGACGAACTCTGGCGAACTGGGCCCTTACTTGCTGTACTGCATTGGAGTAATGCTCTGATTAAAAGAAACAGATTTTTGTCTCTTGGTAGGGGATGGGAATGGCACTGGGGAGTTGTGTGTCTGACTTGTAAGTTAAATGTGAGTCTAAGATTTCCCTCAGTGTTAGGAACTATAGGCAGCTGGGCAGGAGCCCAGGGAGAGCTACATAGATTAGTAGCACTTTCTGTTTTCTAATAGAAGAAAAGGCATTTAATTAATGGAAACTAGTTTTCAGTTCTAAGTCTTGGTTTCCTGGGACCTTTACCTGTATTTGAAGCCCCCACCTCCCTTTTTAAAATTTATCCTTTCCTGTAATTCTAACTAAATAGATCTATTTACTTAGTTTTGGGAATTATAATTAAACAGGAAAGTAGGCCTGAAACAAGATATGACACAGTTTGGGAGGAGCCTATTGGATTGAATGTTTTAAACATACAGTGTTAAATAGAGAATGATCATGAATGTAATCTCAGGTAACTTGAGCTATCATTACCAGAAGTTTCTTCCTTATTTCTGACATAAAACCCTCTTAGCTATTTAAGCCTATTTCCTTAAGTTTTATTACCTTTGCCATGGAGATGTAGAACTCTATTATGGAGGCTTATTGCATAAGGGGATTTTAAAGTGGAATTCTTGAGAGCTGACTGCAGGGAAACCATTTTGGGTATGATGTAATTTATTTTTTTAACATTTTTTATTGATTTATTATCATTTTACAATGTTG